GGCTGCTGTAAAGCTAGTGTAATAATTCCTTCATTGAGGAACAAGCAATTGACATCCATTCACAGTAGGAAGATTGAGTGTCAGGGGAGTAGGAGTAAGACCAACAATATGTAGATACACGAAGTAGCGACTGTGAGAAGCCGTGGGGGTTAAAGGGTGTTTGTGGCTTTTAACCTGGCACATGTTGTTTGTTTTACTCTAGAGACCGGGAGGACCCAGCAATGTTCTACGAGATGCGTGTCTGGTTGCTAATATTCTGGACCCCAGAATCAAGCAGGAGATCATGAAAAAGTTTATTAAACAGCATCTGTCAGAGTATCTAGTACTTTTTCAGGAAAACCAAGATGTAAGTATTGACCAAATAAGATCAGACGTAATATTTGAATTTTATCGAGAAATGAATGCTGTCAAGCCTACTGATTTAGACTTTATGTTAGCATTCCTGCCTCACAGTGTTGATTGTTGAGCCATGAGCCCTAGGGGCTGACTTGATAGTTCTTAATCATTTCGAGGTCACTGACCCTTTGGAGAAATTCAGAAACATGCACCTGTGCATAAAACTCTGCAGATAGTGTTTGGAAATGTATAGACCTCTGAAGCCCAATCATGACCCTAGGTTAAAAACCTCTGGATTTTGAAGTTAAAAATCAAGTAAAAACGTAGCCCAGATTCTTTAAAGCCGTGAGAAATACGGAGATTTGTTCCCTTTTGCCTGGCTCTGTGTTTGCTTGTTTCCTTAAACTTCCAATTCTGCTTCTAACCATGGGGTGGTTTCTGTTCCCCACCTTCACCAGGTTGCCTGGCTGGACAAAATCGACAGACGCTACGCCTGGATAAAACGCCAGCTTGTGGACTATGAGGAGAAATACGGCCGCATGTTTCCACGTGAGTGGTACATGGCTGAGAGGATTGCAGTAGAATTTTGCCATGTAACAAGGTAGATGCCAATTCTCTGTTGGTTCTGTTGTTTATGGAATTTTCACCATCAGTCCCCCAGACTCTAGTGGTTCCATGTTGTCCTGTGGATTCACTGCCACTTCCAGACCCCACTAGATGATTAATACCATCCTCATACCCAACTGTGGCCCCTCGGCTGCTCTCCTCTGCTCCCGTCTTTGCTCTGGGACTTTCCTTTGGTGTGGTTCTTACCTCAGTCTACCTTCACCAACTGAAGGCTTATCAACTGGATCGACCTATAGTGATTCTTCTACCCCACGTTTTCCCCTAATTGGTTTCACATGTATCAGTGTGCTGTGTATATATCCCATCATCGTTTTTATTTTCTGATTTGCTAGATAGACAGTTCCTTTGAGTCAGGCGTAGTATTTATTTTAATGATACAGCAGACACTAAGGAAACATTTGTTAAATGAATTTCCCATTCCTAATACAGCGTGTATAGCCTCTGGATAGTTAATAGAGCTTTTCTTTGAGACAGAGCCTCACTCTGTCACCCAGGCTGGAGTGCTGCAGTGGCACTATCCCAGCTCACTGCAACCTCCATTTACTGGGTTCAAGTGATTCTTGTGCCTCAGCCTCCCAAGTAGCAGGGATTACAGGTATGTGCCACCACACCAGCTAATTTTTATGTGTGTATTTTTTGTAGAGACAGAGTTTTGCTATGTTGTTCAGGCTGGTCTTGAACTTTTTTATTCTTTATTTCTAGCTGTACTACAACTGTATTGGTAACTGGTTCTTACTAGTTATTTATTTCCTCCCAGTAGTACACAGTTACGTTTAACTCCAGGTTAATAAGAGAAAAAAGCCCATATCTAAGCATAACTCAACCACCTTACCATAATTCATGGTGGTCTGTTTTATTAAAATCGTGGAAAGTACAGTCAAATTGCATGTTGTAAACACATTGTGGGGAAAAAGTGTTTTAAGGGATACTGGCTTTTTTAAAAGCAGATTTTATTTTTAGAGTAGTTTCAGGTTCACAGCAGAGTGGAGCAGTAGATAGAGAGTCCCATGTGTTCCTGCCCCTTGCCTCGTCCCTCTGTGGTTGGCACCTTTCACCAGAGTGGTGCGTCTGTCACAGCTGGCAAAGCCGCACTGACACACCATCATCACCCAGGTCCATAGTTCATGCCAGTGTTCACGCTTGGTGTCAGCACACAGTCTGCCCAGAGCAATGGTCCGTAGTTCATGCCAGTGTTCACGCTTGGTGTTAGCATACAGTCTGTGGCTTTGAGATGGACGTCTCGCAGTGTTGCCCACACTGGCGTACAGTGGCTGCTCACAGGCGTGGTGATTGTGCACTACAGCCTTGAACTCCTGGGTTCAAGCAGCCTGCCTGCTTCAGCCATCTGAGCAGCTGCAACTGCAGGTGCACTCAGCTCCGTTCTTTGTGGCTCTTGTTATAAGAAACACATTGGGCCAGGCTCGGCAGTTCATGCCTATAATCCTAGTACTTTGGGAGGCCAAGGCGGGTGGATCATGTGAGTCTAGGAGTTTGAGACCAGTCTGGGCAACATGGCAAAATCCCACCTCTACTGAAAATACAAAAATTAGCTGTTCATGTTGCCAAGCACCAGTAATCCCAGTTACTAGAGAGGCTGAGATGGGAGGATTGCTTGAGTCCAGGAGGTCAAGGCTGCAGTAAGCCATGATCATGCCATTGCACTCGAGCTTGGGAGACAAAGTGAGACCCTTCTCAAAAAAAGAAAGCGGGGAGGGGTGAGGGAGGGAAGGAAGGAAGGAAAAAGGAAAAGGAAAGAAAGAGAAAGAAAAAGAAACACATTGACTCCTGTAGATTTAGAGAACCTTTTAGCACTGGTTTAGAATCAGTTGAGATTGTCACCTTCTGAATCCCAGTTAGCAAAATAAAGAGTTAGTTCCTTGAGAAACCGTTAGCTAATTCTTTTTAGCTCACAGTTCAGCAGACTTGAAAAGCAGCTCTGTGAGGAATGAAGCTTGAAAGAGACTGGGCGTATGCTAGAACCCACCGTCTCTGTCCTCACCGGTACCTGCTCTTGTTGTCTCAGCCAATGCAGTGTTGCTGCCAAGCTTCTATTGTTAGAAGTTTGGCTAAAATCCTACAGATACATCATTCTGAAACTCAGAGACCCTTGGTTTGATTTTGTCATGTATTTTTGTGGGAAGATGATGATAGCTTAGTCCTTACTAAGAACTCACATGTCGCTGTTTACTAGCAGCTGACCTTCTGAAACGTAATACTTGAGAGAGCTGCACATGAGTGCCTCAGGCAGGGGCCAGCCAAGCCTGCTGGCACTTTCTCACAGGGATTCCTGTCCCTGGCGTACATTTCCAGGGCTCTTGCTGTCTAGTTGAAGAGATGATTATTGGGCCCTCAGGAGGAGGGAGGGCTTTGTTATTCAGTAATTCATGACTTGTGAAATTATCTAGGCTATATACGCTAGTAAAAAATTAGGTGCTCCATATGTATTATTATCCAATTATTGAACAGGTTAAAGAAACAGGCAATGTAGTAACCATGGGAACAGATTAGCGGTGGCTCACACCTGTAATCCCAGCACTTTGGGAGGCCAAGGTGGGCGGATCGCTTGAGGTCAGGAGTTTGAGACCAGTGTAGCCAACATGGTGAAACCCCATCTCTACTAAAAATACCAAAAAAATAGTCAGGTGTGGTGTAATCCCAGCTACTTGGAAGGCTGAGACAGGAGAATCGTTTGGACCCAGGAGGTAAAGCTTGCAATGATCATTCCACTGCACTCCAGCCTGGGCAACAGAGGGAGACTCCATCTCAAAAAAAAAAAAAAAAAAAAGCATTCATAATCCCTGATTTGTTTGCCTGCTGGCTAATTTCACCTTAAAATTCTTGTTTAGAACACGTATTTGTATTCCCCAGGTTTTAGACCAAGCCAATAACAGACCTCAGGGTTCCAAATGACCACATACATTTTTTTCCTCTGAATATAAGCTAAGGCCGTTTACTTTGTCTTATCTCGAATGAATGATTGGCTTATTTGATAGTATTCTTATGTCTTTGTTTTGAAGGACAGAACTTGCCAAGATTATGCGGACCAGAGCGAAGGAGATTGAAGTGAAGTTGCTTCTTTTTGCTATTCAGAGAACAACTAACTTTGAGGGGTTTCTTGCAAAACGCTTCTCCGGCTGCACCCTGACAGATGGGACCCTGGTAAGACCTTCCCAAGGGAGTCTGCGACATGAAGTCAGTGGGTTGGGTGGTTGGGATTCACGTCAGCGCTTCACTGTATGGCGACTCCACCCGTTCACTGTATGACAGTTCTATCCATTGGCTTCAGTGCCTAATCCCTCATTCCAGTGATTTAACTGAATTGATAGGAAAAGTGATGGTACAGATCACTCTGAATGGATTTATTATTTGTTATGCAGTACTTCATGTTTTTAGAATGCCCTGTCATCATCTTTTCTAAGTATTGATCCCATTTTACAGACTAGTAGTTTTGTTAGTCAGAGGCCTTACTCAGTCAGAAATACCTTATTACTTTATCAGCTATCAAATTTGGTTACAATTGGGATATATTTTTACTTTAGGGTTTGCCTTTTAACATCTCTGGTGAGCAAACTAGGTCAGAGAGTCTCTGAAAACACCAAAGCCAGGTATACGGGTCTGGGAACTGTGTGCCTCCATTGGAAAGGTGGAACATATTACTCCTGGTTAAATGTTTCATCTCTGTGTAGTCAGAGACCCAGGTCCAAAATTTTTCTCTGGAAACCTCCTCCTTTTGGCCCGATGCAGTGGTTCACACCTGTAATCCCACCACTTTGGGGGACCGAGGCAGGATTGCTTGAGACCAGGAGTTCAAGACCAGCCTGGGCAATATAGCAACCTTATCTCTATAAAAAACTTAAAAAAAATTAGTCAGGCATGATGGCGCACACATGTAGTCCTAACTACTTGAAGGCTGAGGCGGGAGGACCACATAAGCTCAGGAGTTGAGGCTGCAGTGAGCTATGATGGGTGACAGAGAGATACACTATCTCTAAAAAAAAAAAAGAAGAAAAGAAACGAAACAAAGGAATAAACCTTTTCTTTCTGGAGGTGCAGGATCCCTGCTAACACATCAGTATGCTTTCTTTAGATTTCCTTTCCACAGGGAAACCAAGTGACTATTTTATAGTAATTTCTGTTTGCATTATTACATATGCACAGGCTTTGAGTTCCTTGAATGCAGGAATTGTAGCTGATTCATGTGTCTCCTCGAGTCATGCACAGTATACACAGAACTCATGCAGGCTGGAATGGAAAGGGAAAGAAGAAAGGAGGGAGGGAAGAAGAAATCCAAGTTGAGAGAATCATACCTTTGAATTTTCTTTAAAACTAGATTTGGGTTTTTTTTTTTTTAAAAAACTGCTGGTAACAGTAGAGAAGCAGAGTGATTTAGTAGCAGAACCCTTGGACCAGCAGTCAAGAGAGACTTGCGGCCTTGTCCTGATTCTGCTGTAACGTGGTGAACTGCCTTCCCTGTTAAATTGTGACATATCCTTACCGTGAGATATTATACAGCAGTTTAAAGGTGACAGAATTAGGGGCTGGACGCGGTGGCTCATGCCTGTTATCCCAGCGCTTTGGGAGATATAATTTCTTTTATGGTACATATAGTATAATTTTTTTATGGAAAAAATGAAAAGCATGTTTATGTACATAAATGTGTCTGGAAATAACAGTAGCGGTCTCTAAGAAGGAAGTTGGAGTGAGAGTAGGTAGAGAAGCATAGTTTTTTGGAAACGTTCTTATACAAATGCATTTACATACTTTTTGTGTGCTTTAGCAAAGTTACTTTTCAGTTGTTTTAAAATGAGAAAGATGGCCAAATCAGTGATCTCCAAATCGTTTCTTCTGACAAAATCTAATGCAGAGGCTGGGTGCGATGGCTCATCTATAATCCCAGCACTTTGAGAGGCTGAGGTGGGAGGATCACTTGAGGTCAGGAGTTTGAGACCAGCCTGGCTGTCATGGCAAAACCCTGTCACTACTAAGAATACAAACAATTGGCTGAGTATGGTAGTGGGTGCCTGCCAAGATTGTGCCACTGCACTCCAACCTAGGCAACAGAGCGAGACTCCATCTCAAAGAGAAAGAAAATTGAATGTAGAATCCGAACACAACAATAGGTAACATGCTTTGAACATCCGCTCGGTGACCCTCACTGTAATAGGTGCGATTACCTGTAGTCAGTCACTCTGCTTCGTGAACCACAGGAAGTAGGTGCCACATTCATTTGAAATGTATGTGAGGTCACAGAGCTAATGTGTAAAAACATGAAACTGAGCTACTGTGACTGAAGTGGGGAGTCAGGCTAGGACTTGGACCTGGAATCCTGCTCACTTGTTCATGCTTCACCTCCGCCACCTTCCCTGGCTCCTACCCTCCTGGTCCTAAAATCCTGAGACTTCAGTGGAATTCCCTCTTTGTCCCATGAGGCCAGCCTCAGAGTTGGTGAAGCGGGTGAATCGGGCTGGTCCTTCAGGCACTGGACTGCAGGGTGGTGGTGGCGCTGCCCAATTTTGAGGCCAGACCACAAGGTCCTGCCTACTTGGGCCACTCACGACTTTACTAAAATAAAGGGCAACTGAAATCACAAAACACTCTTTTCCTACCTGGTAAATCAAAAGTATGTATACTCCTGCTTGCTAACTCATGTTCCATATTGATTTCTTTTTAGTAACAAGGGAAAAAACAGGCCACAAAACAGATAAAAATAGCCTTAAAGAAAGTGCAAGTCGGAAAAGGAAATCTTAGCTGGCATGGTGGTGCATGCCTGAAGTCCCAGCTACCTGCGAGGCTGAGGCAGGAGGATTGCTTGAGCCTGGGAGGCGGAGGTTGCAGTGAACTGCAATTGCACCACTGCACTCTGGCCTGGGTGACAAAGTAAGACTGTCTCAGAAAAAAAAGAGAAAAAAGGAAATAGGGAGCAGAAATTCCACTGAAGGAATCAAACGTTTCTCCTGAGAAGTATGAGGTTGGCTTTAGCAACCCGTTTCTTGCTAGCTCTCCTCTCTGACCTTCCCAGGCCATGCTTCTGCCTGGTTTCAAACAGACACAGTGCAGCACTGGGTTCAGCCTGACAGGGATCTGCCTGGGGACGAGCATGAGCTTTCGCCTTGAGCACAGGCCCCACCCTGGAGTAGCCCTCTGAGCTCCCATGGCCTCTGACTGGGCAGGGTCAGGAGCGCATTGGGACAGGCTCTGTGAGCTGCTAATCCAGTTAACTGGGTGAGAAATAGGTCCCAGTGAAGGGTGCTTGAAGGACATGATCGTCAACCGCTTGTTTTGAGCCATTCTTCACACTTGCTGGCTGGGCCCTACATCCTGGTGATTTTTCCTTTACGTTTAGGGAGCTGTAGGATATGGAGGAACAAATGGCCCCGTTGTATCTGAGGACCAGGGTAGCCTGTGAAACTGAGTCTGTCCCAGGACACAATGGAGTTCTCACCTGTCCAGGGAAATCCCCCGAAGGCCAGAAGTGCTAAGGGAACGAGGGCAGGGAAGGCCCTTCTGGACAAGCTGAGGCTGCTAGACTAGGTAACCACGTAGAGACCACGAAAAACTCAGGAGCTTTCTTAAGTTTTCAAAGACAATGCTTGTTTGTAAAACACAGATGTAGGACTATCAGAGTGGCAGTTGGCCAACTGTCAGCGCCTCTGTCCCGTGGAGGACAAGGCTGGAGGTTCTTGTTGCTCAGGGCAGCGCCGCCCCTTTCAACCCAAACTCAGCCAGGGCCGAGCTCCTCTACTGGAGCCCCTGTGTCTTCTGGCAGATGCTGCGCTCTGTGGTGGTGATTGGATAGGAATGCTTTAGCCTTTTTTCCCCGAGTTCCTTCCTTTTTGGTTTTCATATTTGAAATTTTGGGGCAGAACTGGTCTGTGGATCATCCCCTCTTAACTGTTCAGCTGTTGCTTTCCTCTCCTGTCAAGTTTGTGGAGAGTTTCAGATGGTAAATCCTTGGCCAGAAAAGTCTGATTAACACCATGAGTTCTTTCTTTCCTTCTCTGTGTAGTCGGCTGTCTTCTCCACAGGCTTCTCTAAATCCTTCAGCTTCTTTAGTTCAGCCCTGGCCTCCAGACCCTATTCTTTGTGCCGGTTTTCACGACCTGGCAGTTATTTTGCATTCCAAATCCTGACAATGGCTGTCCGATATCCTTCAAGGATTTTCCCTTAAAGATAAGTTTCTAGAAGGGCAACAGAGCCCCTATGGCCACGTCAGCCAGGTACGTGGGGTCTTGAAGAATCGGTCCACTGCAGCTCTGCCGTGGGAGATGTGAAGGCTCCAACTGTAGGTGATGCTCACACTGAGCTGGTCCCCACCGTCACCTCACCATAGGCCACGTGAGGCTGGCCGCCTTCACCTTTAATCTGCAACCCTCAGTGGCAGGTGCTCACACTGAACTGGTACCTGCTGTCACCTCATTGAGGACCACGTGGGGCCTTCTTCACCTTTATTCTGCAACCCTCAGTGGCAAGGACGCTGATGAATTCATCCTGGCTACCAACCTACGGACGTGCTCCCAACGCAAAGCACCGGGAAGGGCCTGCCTTGGCGAGGCCAGGAGGTGCAGCTGTCCTGTCCCCAGTCTAGTCACTGGGTACCCTTCCCTGCCTGGAAATTTGCTGCTCCCTGGCCCCTGGCCACTTTCCCATGCTGCCTTGCTTTCAGGATACACTTTTGAGATTCCTTTTTGGCTACCATTTTGTTTCAAAATACCAGAATAAATTGTGAAATGATGAAACAAAACAAAACAAAAAACAAAAAAAATAATAATAATAAAGAATAAAATAAATTGTGAAATGAACCAAGGTGTATCTTGATACTCTTTCATATATGCCAAATTTTATAGAATGTTACTGAATTCCTCAGAAAGGTGTCATGAAACAGGGAAGATGTCAGTCAAGGACCAGTTCGTCTGGAGATTCTCCCTTGCTGCCCCTCCCTAGGCCCCACCTTATCCCCACCCTACCCCGCCACCACCTTCAGTATCATTCAGAACCTCTCAGGTCCTTGGTGACTGGCAGTGAAATAGTGAGGGTAAGCTTGAGAATGTGACTAGCTCGCCAGGAAGGCCTGCCACAGCTCAGCCCCTCCTGACCGATCAGTGGGATGCCCCATCCTTTGCTCTTTTCCAGCATCCGATAGAACTTTAGACTGAAAGAACCTCAGGGACAGGGCTTGTTGCTTTTACCAGTAC